AGAGAGAGAGAGAGAGAGAGAAAGAGGGAGAGAGAAGGAGAGAGACTGGGAGACAAAAGAAGAAAACACGGACAGGTAAAGAGAAGAAAGAGAGAAAGAAAGAGAAAGAGAGACAATTAGAGAAAAGAGAAAGCAACAAAAGAGAAAATAAAGAGACAGAGAAAACAAAGAGAAAGAACTAAAAACATGAGGAAGAGAGCAGAAAGAACCAGAGTAAGAGAAAAAGAGAGAGAAAAAGAAAAAAGTGATAAAGAAAGAGAACAGAGTGAGAGGGCAAGAGAAAAAAAAGAGAGAGAGATAGAGAGAGAGAGAGAGAGAGAGAGAGAGAGAGAGAAAGAGAAAGAGAGAGAGAGAGACAAAAAGAGATAATATCAATAAAACAACCCATACCCCCCTGAAGCAAAATCCTCACCATCAGAACAGCATCAATGTTTCAGTCGACCCTGACTCTTCCGATCACTCTCCCTCAACTAACGTCACACCAGCAACAAACTTTCTTCTCTGAAGCCTCCTATCTCATTGCAACAATAGCCAGGCTAATAGCAACGCTCCATCCCTTCCCCCTCCCCTTCTCCAAGCCACCTTATCAGCCCCAGCACCCCTCCCCCTCCCCCCCACTATGTGATGGCTGTCACTGACCTGACAGTTTTTGATCTTCTTCCTGCGATTAATTTACTTCCTGACAGCTTGGGCATAACCTACTTCCTGGTTTGGTTTGACGAAAGACAGACACACACACACACACACACACACACACACACACACACACACATGCATTAAAGGTCATGTAGTGTAGTGTAAGGGGAAAAAATAAACAAAAACGGACAGAAAAAGACAAGTCTAGTTTGGGTACAGATACCACAATGGCTACTCAAAGCAGAGAAAGAGAAAGAAATACAGACAGAAACAAGAGATGAAAAGAAGGAGGATGTAGTTGTGGAATCCTCTAACCGCCCGTTTCTACCTCTTCCCCACTGTAACCCCATAGATTCTAATTAGTCTGACCGCGTGGGAACCTTGTACTGTCTCTTTAGCTACTTACTGGTTCCTTTATAAGGTCTTTGTTTTATCTTGTTATATGAAGCGTTTTATGTCCCTTGGATACAGATATTTGTTAATCTTGTTTTGGCAATTGTTTTATGTCCCTTGCATATAGATCTAATAATAATGATAAATAGCATTTTACAGCGCATATCTCCGCTCAACAGCAGGCTCTATGCGCTTTACACTATATTATTACCCCAGCAGACCATAGAACACTCCGAAACATTTTCAGCTTCCTCAGCTTCCTCAGCTTCCTGGGAAGCATACAGTGCAAGCAGCTGATTAAGCGCTTAAACACTAACAAACTGACAAGATCTTTCGCTGTCCATAGCCAGGTACCCATTCCCACCTGGGTGAAGTGAGGAAAATTCGTGTAAAGTGCCTTTCCCAAGGACACAACGTCGGGTCCCTGACATGATTCGAACCCACGACCTTACGGTTACGAGTCCAAGAACCTAACCACTAGGCCACCGACGCCACAATCTTTGTCAATCTCCTTTTGGCAAGTGTTTTATGTCATTTGCATAGGCTTTTGTTTATCAGATTTACGTAAGTGTTTTATGTCCCTTGCATCACAATTAAAATTAGGTCTTATAGTGCAGAAGATTAGAGGTGTTTCGAGGGCATAACAAACACAAAAAGGAAGAGAGATGAGGACGACAGATGTTTGACAGGAAAGAAGGAGCAAACCACACTTAACCAGGAACAGATTTAGTGATTGCAACATCTGCGCAAGGGTGTGTGCTTGTGTGTGCATGTGTTTATGAGAGATGCATGGGTGCACGTGCGTGTGTGTGTGTGTGTGAGTGTGTGTATGTGTGTGTGTGTGTGTGTGTGTGTGTGTGTGTGGTGTGTGTGTGTGTGCGCGCGCGAGTGCATCCATGTGTGTGCATGTGAGTGTGCATGTATATATATGCATGGGTATGCCAGTATGTGTGCTTGTGTGTGTGTGTGTGTGTGACTGTGTGTGTGTGCTTGCGTGCCTGTGAGGCAAAAAGCTACCCTGTAAGTGTGAGAACACAAAGACATAAAGAGTAGGTAGCACTCACCTTTCTCCGTCTCTGTGTTGAGGATGGCAAAACACTTCTCCGAGGGGTCCCAGTGCCCGGTGATGTTATAGGCCTTGCTGTCTGCAGCATACGACATCGACACCTGGTCAACAACACCAAGGTGATACTAGTTTAGTTAGTTTAGTAAGAGTGTTTTTTTGTTTTGTTTTGTTTTAGTAGAGGTTTTACAGTGCTCGCAACTGCATAAGGTCATATGAGCGCCAGAAGATTAGAGGTGTTACAAGAGAGTAACAAACATAAAAAAGAAGAAGGGAAGATAAGGATTATAGATGTTTGATGGGAAAGAAGGAGCAAACCACACCAGAGCACCCGCCAACGGCGCTCGTAACTGCATAATACAGATAATACTAGCCCTTATCACAATTTCTTACAGATTGCTTTATTTGTGAAACAATGAGAAAAAAGTGAACTTTGAAATGACAGAGAGAGAGAGAGAGAGAGAGAGAGAGAGAGAGACAGACAGAGAGAGAGACAGAGACAGAGAGAGAGACAGAGAGAGAGACAAAGAGAGACAGAGAGAGAGAGACAGAGAGAGAGAGAGAGAGAGAGAGAGAGAGAGAGAGAGAGTTGAACAAAGAAAAGAAATTTCCCATTCAGCTCAAAGCCTTTTTATGTGGCTGGTTGGCGGGTGCTCTGGGGTGGTTTGCTTCTTCTTTCCTATCAAACATCTATCGTCCTTATCTCCCCTTCTTTTTTAAAATGTTTGTTACTCTCTTGTACCACCTCTAATCTTCTGGCGCTCATATAGAAAAAAGCCTTTTTATCTAGTGATGAGGAGAATGTGAACAGACTGTAAAATCTCTGACAAAGTTGACAAGGGCAAAAGAAGCTTATCATTGCCATCTCTCCATACACTAAGACATTATAGGCAAATATCTTATGTCTTATCATAACCATTTACTAGTGACGCTGTCTTCCTAATACATATTCATATAGTGCAGAGCATCTCAATTATGGGAAGCTTGCATAATCAAACCTCATGTTATAATGTACCCTTTCCTCTTCTCTCTCCTCCTATAATACAGACTATCCTTCCTTCTCTTGTAATCTCTTTCTCTCCCTTTATTTCCCTCCCTCCTTCCATATCATCATATAAACCATCATCATAGTCTCAGTATTGAAAGCAAATATTTTTCACACTAAATTAAAGGACTTTCGACAACAATGGATCCCTGTTTTTTAAAATAGAATTTGAACTAAAAACAAAAAGATTATCTACTTTCTTAGAATTAAAAATACATGGCCTTATGTATAAAGCAAGGTGAACAATCAAAATAAAATTATAGCCGTCTTCTTTATCCCTACTAGCATGATCTAAAAGTAAAATTTCACACACTCCTACCTAGCTGACAGTCACCACGAACATGGAGCAAACATTCAGGTTAGAACATTACAGAAATCCTATCCCAACAGAACAGGTAACGACATCCCAATCAGAAGTATGGCATCCATGTTCCACTTCATTCTTGCAGGTAACCACACACACACACACTACACAGTCCACACACTTCATACAGGCCAGCACACAAAGCATGCCTCTATCCAGTCAGCCACACAACATCAAAAGGTTACAGTGAAAGGCAGACTCCGGTGTGTCCCCCAGCCCAAACGTCATCTGATCTGATCAGTCAAACCTCCCCCCAAAAACCCAACTCACTAAATTCCTGTTGTTAATCCCCCCCTCTCCCCCCCCCTCTTCCCCCCCTCTTCCCACCATGACAGCATTCTGGGCCATAGAACTCTCTTGTTTGCCCAGAGATGCCTCAATCAAGAATGAGTCTAAATGAAACAAACGAAAAAACCAGGTCAATAGAGACTTTGTGGCTTGTGCTCTTTTTTTTTTTTTTGGGGGGGGGGGGGGGGTGCTTTATGATAATGATTTTTTTTTTTTTGCATGAGCTTTCAACATTATGTGCGTCTAATTTAAACTTATCTATACACTCAGCCAGGACCATGGCAAAGCCAATAACCTCAGTAATTAGTTAGCTTTTCTTTTTCTGAGCTTCTGCTCTTTCCAATATTTTCTGCAGCACACCATTACAAAACATCATATAGTGAACGCTTCATTGCTATGGCGTTTTTTTCCCTTCCATATTATGTTCCTGCGAAGGAAGAATAGGCGAAACGTCGAATATTTATTTAATATACCTGTTCAGTCTCCAATATGTTTTCTGCTATTAGATGATGATGATGATGATGATGATGATGATGATGATGATGATTATGATGAGGAAGAAGAACAGTAAGAAATGTGGGGAGACATCAAGGAGGCAGGACATGACACAAAGCTGACATCTCATCACCTATTTCTCTTACAGTATTACTCTGCTACAAAGCAATTACTGAAGCTGAGACAAATGACAGACTAGAATGTTGGTACTCAACCACAACCACACATACATATATGAATGAGAGAGAGAGAGAGAGAGAGAGAGAGAGAGAGAGAGAGAGAGAGAGAGAGAGAGAGAGAGAGAGAGAGAGAGAGAGAGAGATTGTGAGTGTGTGTGTGTGTGTGTGTGTGTGTGTGTGTGTGTGTGTGTGTGTGTGTGTGTGTGTGTGTGTGTGTGCGTGTGCGCGCGCGCGCGCACGACTGTCAGTGCACATGTCAGGCCAGGTGTGGTGTGATTACGCGGGTGAATGAGTGTGATTGTACTTGTACACATGAAAGTGTGTATGAGTGTGAAAAAAGGTGCATGTGTCTGTTGAGAGTGTGGATAGGTGTGTGTGTGTGTGTGTGCGTGTGTGTGTGTGTGTGTGTGTGTGTGTATGTGAGAGTACGTGTGTGTATGTATGTGCGCATGTCCGCGTCTGTGTTTGCATGTGTTGAAAGGCACCGCGTACATGTGTGTTCTACACAGGTATGAGAGAGTACGAACCAGCCAACAAACCCAATGGACAATGACAGTCTGAGAATGAGACTAACAAGACAGTACAGAGGGACTCACCAGTTCAATGAGTTGCATGTCGCTGTGCTGGACATTACGACCAGGGGAGATAAGTAGGCCAAAGCACCTGCACGGGAGAAAGAAGAGATTATAGTTCAGTAGGAGGAACATCCAACCCTTCTCAAACTGTTTGTTTGAGTTAAGAGAAGCACATCAAAACAATACTGGTCATTTAGTACCAGGAAAACAGCCCGGCTGATGAAGAAAAACCAAAGGAAAAGTGAAATGTATGACCTACTAGAGCACCAACCAACCATCTGCATCCAGCATTGCACAGTTATTTTATCCTGCCAAAACAGACACATTCAACAGAAACACATCCTCAAAGAACAGAGGGAACATCTTACAATGCATCAATTCATCCAAAGTCCTTTCAAAAGTTCATTTTATTAAGTGTTTAACGGCACTTGCAACACAATCAAGTCATATAAATGCTGAAGAGTAGACGTGTTACAAGAGAGTAACAAACATAAAAAGAAGGAGCAATAAGGACGATAGATGTTTGATTGGAAAGAAGGAGCAAACTAAACCAAAGCACCTGCTAACTACCCATCCTTTTTAAAGACATCAGAGGCCAAGCCCTTCACTCTCCACTTCCACTTGACTCTGTCTTTCAGAGTTGCAAACAACCAAACCGCGGACCAGTTCCCTTCCCAACTCTTATCCTGTTGATAACAATTAAAGTGATACTTTCTCCCCTCATTTAGAGTGCCAAACAAGACTTTACCAGCGACAGTGAAGTAACTCTCTAACAATTCAACGATATATACTTCATGGAGAGTTTTCCCCTTACATTAAATTTCGGCAGAACGCCGTTTCTGCAACAGCAAAGTTGACGATATACACCTTTAGAATGTCTCAAAACCAGAAATTTGACCGGTTGCGTGACAGAAACAGTTTCAAGTTCTTTTGGCACCAATTAAAAATACTGTGTACCAAAAGGAACAACTTATTGAGAAACTGACTTCCAGCAGCTTGGCATTAGGCATAGGACACAAGCCCAAAGGAAGCTGAACTTTGTTACCTGCCTTTGCTGTCAGTCCCTGCTGCCTTTGTCAAATGTTTTTGCTATCTGTCTTTGCTGCTTGTCTTTCTATCTATCTCTCCTATCTTTGCTACTTGACTGCTGTCTCCTCTACCTGTTTAAGCTATCTGTTTTTGCTAATCTGTTTCTGCATCCTTGATATCAGTTTAACTTCGCTCTCTGTCTCTGCAACCTGTCTCAGCTATTTGTCTTTGCTCTCTGTCTGTCCATCTTTGCTACACATCTGTGCAATCTCTCTGTGCATCTTTGCTACATATCTGTGCAATCTGTCTGTCCATCTTTGCTACACATCTGTGCAATCTCTCTGTGCATCTTTACTATCTGTCTCTGCAATCTGTTTAAGCAATCTGTCCGTGCATCTTTGCTATCTGTCTCTGCAATCTGTCTAAGCTATTTGTCTTTGCTATCTGTCTGTGCGTCTTTGCTACCTATCTCTGCTGTATTTGCTATACATCTGTACTTACCGCTCAATCCTGAGGTCGTGGGGGCCCGACTGCTGTACCGAGATCTGCAGACGTTTCTCCGTGTTGCACCTAAACTTGAACACATCCTTGTCCTTGGGGCAGGCTGAGTAGTTGCCCTTGCCATCATCCTCGCGGAAGTCCAAGCTGACAGAGAAGGAGAACTCCAGCTCGGCATTGCTGGTGGTGCCACCTGGTGGCTTGTGGGGTTTCGGCACCCGGCGGAACGTGTTGGCAAAACAGTAGAGGATTTTTGGAACCTGTACCGGAAAAGGCGCATCTTTCAAGCTCTTTGTATTCTTTCACAGTAAGTATATATGGTATAAAAATTTCTCCCAAACAAAAATGTTATAATAAATTGTGCCATAATTGCAAATAAATCCTGTCGATCCTCCTCTTACAAACATCTGTCCATGACAATCACCTGTACAAACAACCACTTTTCACCCCCCCCCCTTTTGTGTTTTTACTATATCATAACGACACTGTTCAAGAGGACCAACTGTCTAAGATAACCACTTCTCTCCTTGACAATGGTTGGTTGTCTTGGGCAGGTTCAATAGTAATTGAATAAATGCACAGTATAATTCTATTTTCCTTACTATCACAGTGTATCTTTCCCTAGAACAAACTGCTAGTAGCATGGGTAAATTTGATGGATCCTCCTCTCCTCTGTCCAGTGCAGTGGAGATCCGAGGCACAGGGGAGATAAAGACAGTGTTTGAGTTTGTTTGTGTGTGTGTGTGTGTGTGTGTGTGTGTGTGTGTGTATGTGCATATGTGTGTGAGTGAATATGTGTGTGTGTGTATGCAGGCATGAATAAGTGATTGCTTATGTACAAAAAAAGGATGAGCAAGATTGAGATAAACAATACCAAGTACATGAGTACGTTATGCTTAAAGTCCCATGCGTCAAACTCATCTTTGAAAAAGGCATCAAATCACATTTAGTGCAGCTTTTGACATTTAAGCTACTAGTAAAGATTTTCATACAGACTAAGAAAAAATATTCCATGTTTTCACAGAGTTGTTACATCATCTGCATGAATGACAAACAAACCCCATTTGTTTTAAAATATGACTTTTTGGATCTCCTTTGGGGAAAAATTATTGGGGAGACACATGGACGGCCAAGGACACTGACATAAACCAGAGACACACACACAAAACCAGCAACTCACAGCCTCAGGAATATCACAGCGGAACACGTGACACTGGAAGATAGCGTTCTCGGCGCTGTCGCCGTGGCTACACGTGAAGGCGAAGCACTGTCGCTCTGGTGTCTCGCTGGGGCCGCGGGCACAGAACAGGATGCGGTGGATGCGGAAGCTGGCGATATCCGTGTCTGGCTTGGCTGGCTCCAGCAGTCTGAGGAGAGAAAACGAGAGCCATCAGCATGAGTGGAAAGAAGGTAAGAAAAGTGGTGGTCAGCATAGCAGGTTAGTAGTTGAGTCCAAGACAGGCACACTGACAGTCCCAAGTCCTAGTTATACCAAAACAACAATCATCTTGTGGCACAAGAAACTGCACAGCAACTGACCCCAAAAATAACAGAAACACTGGAAATGTGAGAGCGATCTTCTGATTGAGTTCCATTTTATGGCTTGCCGTTGTTATTTCCATTAAAAAACAGCTACCAAACCCCAAAACACTCTTTTTGCAAAGTCCCACTCTCAACAATTAAAATATAGTCACTTTATAAAGTAATTTTGCGTCTCAAAAAAATAAAAAGGTACCTGAATATCTAAAAAAATTTTCCAATCTTGTCAGCTCAAAGAAAAAAAAGAAAATAAAAAGTAAAAGATACCACAGGCACCCTCCAACCACTCAAGTTATTTTTTTCCCAGTCTTGTTTGGCCTAGAAAATCTGTAGAATCACTACCATAGATGTACAATATGTAAGCAACTCACTCCAGCATGAACAGTTGCAGTTTTCATGAACCTAAAAAGTCACAATACACAAAGTTGTATCATTCTCAGAAGTACGAAAACCTAGACTCATACAAAAAAACACAAATCCCTCTCAACAGGGAAGACCCAAGCTGGCTAACTGATGACTCATACGTGCAAAGTCATCATCAGTCAATATTTAGGTGTTTCTTATACATAAGAGAACTCTTCAAGTATAGAAAACACACATCACAACACAAGGGGGGCGTCGCCACATCAAGTCTTGACTTGTGGTGAGACTGAGCCTATAGGAAACCCAATCAGCCCTTGCACAGATAGTGAACCCTGGACACAGGGAGTGTGTATGTTGGGGGGGGGAGTGTGAAGGACTGGTTTGGTGCGGTGGTATCACTCATTACAGGACCAGTGGACAGAGCTGTAGGTTTTGTTTGTTTCTTCGAGTTTCAGATAAAGAAAAGCATATCAACTCATTTGCTGTCATTTAATATTAGGGAAAAACGAAAGGATAGGCAGAAAAAGCAAAAACAGATGTAAGATGAGCAAGGTCAACCATTAGTTTTTTTCTAACAAGGACAGTGCAACTGCAGTGCCCAACAGACGATGATGTGAGAAAAGGAGAACTATGTGTCAGGTCTGCAGCAAAAGGGTATTTGGGCACAGAGGATTTGTACAACAGGGTGTGGAGGTGAGAAGGGGATAAGTGCAGGGAGAGAAGGGGCAATTAAAAAAAAAGCAGAAGCTCAGAGGTAGGGGGATTTGACTCAAGAAACCCTGACAGAAGGTATATACAGCGCAAGTACACTCAAATCAGATTTAAAGGCCACCAGTATAAAACACCGGCTACTTTTCATCCCCCCCCCCCAGGTTTAAAACAAAACAAAATGATAACACTGTGTAAGACATCGCCCTGTTTAAGACAACCACTTTTCTCCTCGACAATGGGAGGCCTTCTTTGACAATTTTGACTGTTCTATAACGCAGAAACCCATGACTAACCTTAAACAAGCTGAGTCAGACATTATGGCTACATGTTCAAATTGCTCCACAAGATTATACAAAATGTAAAACTGACTTGTTTTTGCCAGAAACTTCCAACCCTCCCTTCTGCCTGACACTAAATACCACGCTGTCAACTATAAAATCATACTTATTTGTTTGAATGAAAATAAAACGAATCCTGAACTTTTCAGGACACACCATCAAATCTCAGAAAACCTTACAGGCGGTGAAGACCATGAGGCAGCTATATTGATTGTAAAAACAATTATAAATGTCAGATGACTCCCACTGAAACAATTTTAATCATATACAAGGTGGGTGACTTCAACCATGATAGAGAAATACTGCATCCCAGCAAAGATGGCAATATTTGATAAAAATGTCTCCATAACTTGGGAATCATACCCATGTTTTCTATGAGCAATAATGAAGTGCCAAACTGTTGCAATAGAGATGCTACTGAAAAAGTAACAGGATCCCCACTCTTTAGATATGAAAAAACTAAAAATATCTGTTTAACTGTAAAATTTATTACACAAGCTAGAAAAAGAAATAGGAAAATAATACGTGGACAGAGGACACAAACATAAAACATTTACCAGCAGAACCAACGAAGAAGCATACACATAAGTAGCATCATATATATGGAGGTGAGATGAAAAACAGGGACATGAAGCAAACTCAAACAGACAAACGATCAGGGGAACCAAATGCACAAATAAATGCAATTTTAAAAAAAAGAAGAAAAGTTGAGACCCAAAAAATCCTCATCACAGCACAGACACTGAAATTTCTTCCAGGACCGGCTGGGGAAAACAAGATGCGGGCAGCAAGAACCGGTCAGGAGGTGAATAATGCTAGTACGGAACCACAAGAAGAGAATTCACAAGAGTACTTGTTTCAGTAAAAAGAAGCACATCCATGTGACGATGGTCATAAGAGCTGGGAAAAAAATCAGAGAGACACGAAGAAACACCCGAGGGAAAGAAAGGAATTATGGCAGTGGTGCCCTCTAACAACTCACATTTTCATAAGCATCAACTCAGTGGCCAATCTTTGTTCATTTGTTTGTTTGAGGAAGAGAAGTATATCAACCCAATGGCAGTCATTTAGCATGAGGAAAAAGCAAGACTACTACACGGAAACAACATAAAGGAGTTATGAAATAGTAACAACGGGAGGCATACTCCAAGCACCCCTGGCCAATCTTTGAAAGCTGCAACTTAACAGTAACCTCAAGGAGACTAAACTGTTCATTTCTATTTGATGCCAGATGTTCGATGAAAAGTTTTCCCCTTGCAGCATACTTCTGCTTAGTTATTTAAAAATTACAAACCTTGGGTTTCCACAAGTATATAAGGAAGCCATGACTGAGACAAAGAGATTAATTTTCAGCCAATCATCTCTCAACTGAATTGTAATTGACAAACTTACAAACTTGTCTCTTTGCCATTTTGAGCTGATGTTTTTGTTTCTTTTAAATGACAAATGACAGCAAAAAAGGGCTGAGTGGCTACTTCAGTATGTCCTCTGGTTTTTTCAAACCATCCAACAAAACCTTCAGGATACATTTGTGTTACGACACTTAGCAAAAGCTCAAACAACACTACTAAGTCACTTCCTTTCTAAATGCTCTCAAGCCAAATTAAGCTTCAAGTGGACCACTTGATGGAAAATATTTTTCTATAAAAAGAACTAATTTTCAATAGATGCACGCAGACTGCAGAAAACTTCGCTATTTGCGAGAAAAAAAAAACATCCTCTGATGATTCCTTGACAGATACCGACGCAATCACAGGAATTTTCAAGACCGAAGAAAAGTGAAAACAAAACAAGGCATACAAACTGAAGAGTCAAATTTAAAAAATGATAATAATTAAAACAATACAAACAATACAACAAAAATCAAACTTGTGAAAATACATTGGAATATGAGACAGAATTTAGGGAAAACAAGATTTTCATTTGGACAGATATATAAGAGGAGACCACGAAGCCTGGTCTTTACATCAGTCATAAGACAATGAGAGAGAGCAGGCTTGAGTTCTGATGACACCAGACAGGACATGACCAAACAACAGAGACTGCCAGCAAGTGTAGTACATTGTGTGAGGGAGAACACTGTCATATGTGTGCACATGGGAATGGGTGGGGCGGGGAGGTGTAAAGTATAGATGTACATGGACTACTTTGGCATGAGACTTCAGAACATAGAACTACCACACACGAAATATCACTCAGAAAGCATAAGTTTAAGCGGCATCAAACTAAACATCATCAAATTTTGTTGCTCCCGAGTTCTGAGAATGACCCCCCCCCCCATTAAAAGTAAAAACTTTTATCATCACCAGGTTACTGGTAATTGTATGGGTCTTACAGAACACCCTTTCAAGCCCCTCACTAGCCTGAGCATGCAAAATCTTAAAACAAAAGACAATATATGGAATCTAGTTATATTTCTAACAAAAAATTCCATCTCCTCAGAGTCACCGCTATGTGTGACAATACTACAGAAATATGACAGAAAACACTACCATCTCCCCCCCCCCCCCCCACACACACACAAACACACACAAAATAAACACTCACACCTCCTGTGCTGCCCCGGAACACTAAATCTAAATGCCTTATTCTACCCAAAAAGTCCTGGTGGTTTTACACTACTAGAGGGCACGACAAGGCCTTGGTTCAGGTTTCCTGCATACATGATTTGTTCTGACTTTTAATTTACAAATTCTTCAGTGGCTACTGAACTTTTAAAACATTGTTAAAGAAAGAAAAATTCATAACAAAAGAACTTAAAACTCTCATAAAATACATCCAACATCACTGTGCATATTTACAGCCGACAACGACATACGTGCTATGTTAGTGGTACAAAACCAAACAGAACAAACTGAAGGAAAAGTAACACAAAGCTTTCAGACAGGACTCACATAACATACAACTCGTGTCAAAATACCTTCCCCATGAAGATTTGGACCATTCATACTTAGGAGTTCTTTCACGTTTCTTACTATATCTTTAATCCCAATGCAGATAACTCTATAACCCCAAGTGGACAAAGGGAGCGTCCAGTGAAACTCACCCGGTCACTGAGTGAACAGTCTCAGCATCCTGTCAGATCGCAGAGTGCATGAAGCATTACTGCCAATGCAATCTCTTACCAATCTGAATATATTTATTTTGACTCGAAAGAGTTGGATAAATGTATAAACTTCTACTTTCACTTTGACACAGTTTTAGACATTTCATGAATATTTTTCGAGAATGCCTCGTATGGTGTTTCACAAGATCTGGAAAAAATTCCGTCAAAACACGGAAAATAATTCTGGAGTTAAAGAGTTAAAAACTAAGCATCTAATCCCTTTGGCTTAGGTCTTCTTCAGTTTGTATGTCTTTACCCCTGAAGGCCATTTTCAGCTAAAAATTGGCCAGTGTCCCTTAAGGTCAGAACAAACACTCTAATGAGCATGCTGCCGTGTATTAAAAAAAACACTTCTGCAGTTGAAACTCAAAGACCAACAGGCATTCCTTAGCAGGCTGCCGGGGCAAAAGTCAAAATGGTAGAAACTTTGGCCAGTACAATAAAGGTTATGGGAACCTAGGAAAACAGCACTCAACTGCCTGGAAATGAAGCAAAAAAGAAAAGCAACCTACAAACTTAAATGCAGGGAAACTTTTGGAACATTTCAAACTCACCCAAAACACACATGAAGAAAACCCAACAGTTTTTTTGAGTAAAGAGAAGCACATCGACACAATAACAGCCATTCAGTGCAGGAAAAAGCAAGGTGGACAGACAGAAATTGACAGCAGGAAAGAGTAAAACAAGTATGCTCTACAACTGGCGACCATCAATCACTTACACACACAAAAAAAAACAACCCAAATGCAGACAAAATTTTTATAAATGGTCAGAAAAGGAAGCCAAATGCAGCAGTGAATACAACCATGCTTCTGAGAGTCTGGCATAGAGTAGGTCACATGGACAGACAGTAGTGACAGGTCACAGATCTCCACAGACAGAGCAATACTACCACGTCAGAATTTTAGCACCTATTTTCAAACGGCATTATATACTTTGGATGAAGCAAACACAGTCAACTAAAGATATTGCTGGATCATACAAGTAATATATAATGATTACCTGGTGACAAATTCTCAAAAGCATGAACAGCGGGGAGGGGGGATGAGGAGAGGGGAAACAAGGTCCAGTCAGGTAGAAGACTGAGCCAAAAAAACAAACAAAACAAACCAAAACAAAAAGTGACAATGCTGAGAAGACAACAGCTAATTAAGAGTGGAGGAAGAAACAAGATCATGCATACCGCAATAGATCTCCACCTTTGCTGCAGAAACAAAGGAGAAAAATCAACACATGAAATCCAAGGGAAAAAAACAAAGTAAAAATGAAGAGCTGTATCTTAATTATTCTCTTATAACTTGAAAAAAAAAGGATGAAAGACAACACATGATAAAAACATGATAAAACACATCAAACATCATTGATAGATTATCTTTTTTCATATTGATAAAAAAAAAGAACACTACACAGACTCACTAGATGACAACATGAGAGCTTAAAAACACATGCTTTCAGTCTGAAGTCTCAGCCAATAGAACCACATGTATCTCTCAAGCCCACACAAACACAGGCGACAACGCAGGTGAAAACGCAGGTGAAAACAAGAGGCACGGACTAAGCATTTCCATTATGATTAATAAGAACCGGTGAGGATGCTTCAGCATGAACACAGTCAAATACAGGACAAAGAACACTCGTTACGTAACAGCAGACTTCTTGACTGAGCTGATCTGCCTTTAATCACTGGATTGTTGGCAAAAACACAAAAACATCACAAACTAAAAGAGACCTATAAACACTGTCTTTAAAAGAATCTGTCATTTTTGTTTTTAGCTTGAAAGAAATATCTGAATAAGTTTCACCAATACTCGACAAAGAGCGCAGACAAGAGCCAAGAATTGCAGGTTTAACAATTGGATATATCCTCAGTCCCTCAGCTCTCTAGATACAAGCAATCATACATCCCAGAAACGTGAGACCGAAAGCATTACAGTTAAAGTAGGCATCCTCCGACTGGGAACTGGTGTGAGCAGGAAAAATCTGCCATTAAAGACATGCCACTACATCACACGACACAAGAGTTTGTCCTGCACATGGTTCCACGCTGTTATATAATGCATATCACAACAAACATATAGCACCACAACTCAAACAAAAGACGCCAAGAACATAAAAAAAGGAAATGTTATCAAACTGTCAAGGTCACAGTGACAAAAAAATACACTTGAAATAATTTTTAAAAAGAATTCAATTTCTAAGTTCAATTAATTTATTGCGTTGAATCCGAATTAGATGCTGTGCTGACATATAACTGATAGAAAACTGGTGCACTGTGTGAAGATAGTGGTGTTTTGAGCTTTGGGATCCAGACAGTGGCATGTTCTTATTGATAGTGATGCAGTAAATAAAAACAGTGAGCCTCAAGTCAGCAGGCAGTGTGTATGCTAGAGCACAGGGAAAGGTTCTGTTCACGACTGCACCTGTCAACTGTCAAGGTAGTCACATACTGTGAAATACAGCGAGTATGCTAGAGATAAATTAAAAAATCACCATTTCTTCCACGTATGAATTTTCTCCTTCTCTTCCTACCCACCAATTGTCTTTATCCATGAAAGAAAAGACAATAGCAAAATTAACGACAAGGACTTGGGAGAGTACTCCAAGCACAAAAAGTAAAGTGAAATGTAAGTTTAAAACAAATAAAATTATAATGAACAAAAGGTAGTCTGGGAACATGGTGAAAAAAAAAAGACATTGAAATGAAAACTGAATGTGCTTTGAACAAATAAAAACCTCAACCCAAAAACACAGTAGCTATACATAAGCATTCATTCACACTTTACAGCCTACATTGCGGCATTGCATTAACTGATAGGAACAGCTGCTCCTTAAACAAGTTGACAGGAAAACACCCTAGATCACGAGAGTATCAGAGACCAAGAAGAAGAAATGGTGGGGGCCAGAGAGGCAAAAAGAATCCAATGTGAAAAAGAACTTCTCATGGAAAGTTTTCAATAATATGAGGGAAGGTACACACTGCTATTGGGCAATGGTTTACTGATGGAGGGTCCAGAGAATCATAACATTTTACATGTCAAGAAAAGTACATATCTGACTGAACAAAGCAAAATATTCAGACAAAACCGACAGGAGAGGAAATAAAATAGGCACTACCAGAGAATCCCTCGAACTAGCGGGAAGAGAAATTTTCATGCTACACATACTAATTTTTGGTGACGTGAAAGATGTACTTTTGCTCTTTCCTATCCCTTCATTCCTCACACTTGTGATCACCAATCAAAAATCTCCATCAGCACCTTCAAAACCCCCCCTTCCACCAAATTCTAAAAATGGACAAATCCTCACTGCAAACAGACAATATTCATTATAATTTCTTTCTCAAGAATCTCATTTGTCTGCACAAAATAAAAACTGACAACACATCACAATGCATACAATACACATTTCAACACACTTCACATCACTGGTCCCAATAGTATTAGAGTCTCACCAGCCAGATATGTGAGATTTTCCATCTGCATTTCCTTGATGGACAACAGACTAGACTAATGAGATGCCATGCAAAATGGACTGATGAGACAAGACTGGGGGGGTGGGGGTGGGGAAGAATCGGACTGCCAAAATTACCAAACATAAAAACACTGATGAGAAGAACAAGTCTGTCGCACAAAAGTCAAACAATAAACACTGACATCACACACTGACATTACATACACAATAATACAATATAAACAAAGAGATACCGTGGAATAATAAAACACTGACTTTATAGAATATTAAACACTGACATTGTAATGAAATCATAAAGACTGACATAACAGAACACTGACCACTGACATGAGCTGACAACCACTGAAAACAGGCATTGGGGCAGAATAACATATAGTGGAAATATGGTGAAGGAGCGAAAGAGGGGTGACCAGTTTACATCTCCCACTGACCTGACAATGCCTTCCGAGGTGGCCGGGACGGACAAGGCGACGGGAATAGACATCTGGCTGTGCTGGTTCAGAACGGACATGTTGCGGTAGATCTCCACCTCACTGCGTGGCGCGTTCACCATGGCGCAGCCCAGGTAAGTGACACCATTGAAGATGGTGCAGTCACCACTGGGAATGATGGGCAGGGATGTGGAGCGACCCCGGTCTGCAGACACATATAAACGTTATTGTTAGTTTTACACATCCCCATTGACATAATTTATATCATTTAAGAAGTGGGCGTCTTTGACCCTGCTTGTTGAGGCCCATCCCAGTTAACCCAACACAGTATCCCTGCAGACAGACAGAGATACTCGATTAAAAAAGAAACGACTCTCCCACCCTAAAACTCAAAACGACTCTCCCACCATAAAACTCAAATCCTCTAAAGGCAGCGGCAAAGAGCCAGATACTCAACAGATGCTAGTGAAAGGCATACTGGATGAACGAAGAAAATATACATCTGTTGAGTAGTGGTTCAGGGTCAGTCCACAAGATTACCAATGGCTGTGCTGCGCCAAAATGCAAAGATAAGGAAAATAGTCTAAGTAAAAGAAGCAGAGCACACCAGAGCACCAACAAACCAATCATTTTGAAAAGACAAAGATACTAGCCCTGACTGGAGTAAAAGACTAAAACACATAAAATTGCTGGCTCCCTCAAAATTAGCAAACATACACACATCACTCTAGCAGTCTCTCAATAAACAAACATTAATCATCACACACAGAAATTACTTTCCTCTAATTTGTTATCTCCCACATATCAATATAAAACACACAGTAACTTTAGAACAAGGTAACTGTTACAAGCTACAAGATTCCTGACTTTTACTTCCAGGCAACACAATGACCAGTGTGTGTTTTAATAAAATCTCTGGCTTTTCAAAGAGCAAAGAACCATGGGTGTGCTGAGACTATTGTTAGCTTTTCTAAAATAATAATTACCACAAAACGCACACAACAAAACACAAGGAATAGCAAAAAACAAAAAATCCTGAGAGTTCAAATATCAATATTCCATAAATAAATAATATGGAAAAAACAAAAACAGGTTCCCCAATTGTCTTTTTCTCTACCAGCACCCCTCCCCCCCCCCCTCTCGACTGATTACCTGGCCTGTCCTCCTCGCTGGGTGTTTCCGGGTAGTTTTCCAGGATGGAGTCTGAGCTCAGGATATTCACCGATTGGCTCCCGGGGATCACATGCTCACAGGGCTCGCTGACGTCAGCACCCTCAGACATGCTGGTCGTCTCGTGGCCCGCAGCGCTGGCAATCTCTTCTGTGATGTCTTCCACGTCTGACGCCACCTTTAGACGCGGCTCCCCATTCACAACCACAAACTCTTCGCTGGTCGACGAGGTGACGGACTCACGGCTCACAGCGTCCTCCATGCTGCTCGCCAGGACATACTTGGTCGCAAAACCCTGGCTCTGTTACTGGGCTGCACCCTGGCAAAGAAAGTTTCAGGGAGAAAAAGCATAACATTACAATCACTTCAATCATGAACAAACGAACATAATGATTTTCCACAAGAAAATCTCATTCAAGGACAACAAAAAAATGAAGAGGTATTTTAAAAACAAAGACAAAGGGGCTTTTACTTTAACATTTATAAGTCACATAAACATAGAATTACAAACAGGTTTAATTCTAAATTAATACTCAACCAGTTTTTTTCTATCTTCCAAAATTGAGTTTACTTTCACAACAAAAACAAAACAAAACAACCCTGACAAAAGTGAAAACCATTTATCAAAGGACAATATGACTATATTATGTCTTGTTATCACCTCCAACTACTGTCTCTCTATGGCAGCTAATCCAGCACTACAGAAAGGCAAACTTCAGAACAGGAAGACAAACTAACAACTCACCTGTAACATCATTCTACGGCAGCTGGAGAAGAAAAGTGGGAAGTCTGTATCAAACTTGTGACTTAACGGTAATCTGGAACTCCAATGTGTAAAGGTCAATGGTCTGCATGCATACAAGACGAGTGATGCTTCCTAGAGCTTCTTCCCAGTGTCACATCTGTTGTGGAAGAGGGAACATTTCTTTTACTTGGTTCCTGAAAGAGAAGAACATTAAAATATACACACCCTCTATCACCACAGAAAGAAAACTACATATTTTACGCTTTAATCCTCCTAATGTCAGCAGCTGATTAAACATTAAACTGGCAAAAAGTTTTATTGTTTTGTTTTTTAGTTTTAGTAGAGGTTTTACAGCGCTCGCAACTGCATAGGCCATATGAGCACCAGAAGATTAGAGGTGTTACAAGAGAGTAACAAACATAAAAAAGAAGAAGGGGAGACAAGGACGATAGATGTTTGATAGGAAAGAAGAAGCAAATCACACCAGAGCACCCGCCAACCACCGACCACATTCTGTGGTGTCGCAGTTGATAAAATTATCTTAATGCCAAAGAGTGCAGTGCAAGAAAGGTGTCAATTTCACTAGGATATCTAGACAAAAGGCTAAGGTATAGTCAGTATTACTTACTCTCACTTGTGACAAACAAACACCTTCAACAATTGAACAATACTGTTGAATTGTCCCCACCCCCCATAAACAAACAAACAACACTAGTCAGGTGGGTTTAACAATTAAATGTCAGGTCAGTATGAGATCCCCCTATCATCACAACAAGTGGTGCAGGAGTAGGACAAAGTATATATATTTACATTACCACTTAGCTGCAGAGGAGTTATTTCTTATTATTGTCTTTCCAAGAAAAATCAATTAATTAGCCAAAATGCTCCCATTTCTAAATTGAAAAGAACTTTGAGGGTATGAACTAAATCTTCACTAGCAACCCTCAAGGAAAGCCAATCATCAAGTCTTCCGCGTTTCACAAGCAAAACAGAAAAGATACGAGAACACACGTGTACGTTGTAACGTTGTTGATTGCTGGCCATAGAGAGGCATCACCAGTGTAGGCCTTCTGTTTGCTTTTCTATGTTTATCACGACATACATACATCAATGGGCCTTCGGTTGGTCATGGGCTATTGATTGAGACAATAATTGTCTCTGAGAAGTTATCCAATAGGCCCTACACATGATGAGTATTGAGTATGTGGTGTGTTTCATGATGTCTCTGGTAATAGGTTTCACTTTTCTAGCCATGGGCAGAGAAGAACAGTACAATCATTATAATGTGCTGATCAGCTTTTTCGTCTGTTTTGTGACAGCTCGGCAGATTAAGCCAGTGAAAGTGTCAAAGAGAAAGCATTAGAATGAGTCCTACATCCTGCAGCTAAAATTGCAGTCGAGTTACAAAAAGTAAAAAAGACGATGAGATTAAAGTTTCAAAAAGCGAAATGTTCCATTTAACTATAGAAAGCTGCTCTTTCTAAACTCTATCATACTCTATGGTGTCAACAAACATTGACATAAAAGCAACCTCTCTGACCGAAAACAGCAAAACCTAAGAAAATCCAGTGTTCCTCCTGATTTCGCTTTAAGCAGACTCCTTTGTATTTCTAATGGTCAAAATTAAACTTTGAGACTCAACCCTTCATTAAGAATAGAATAATAAAATAAATAAAATATGTTGCCTCCTCATGAAAGACTAAGTAATTGAGCTGCTTCAGACACAACAAAAATAATAGACATTTTAAAAACAAAGTGGCTATTCGAGTCTGAATAGAATAGAAAATATTTGGACTCTGAATTGAGTCCAGCATGACCCCCGTTCCGATTTCCGACCCCTGTTCCTAAATATTTCCAGCATTAACGGACATTGTTTCGATTATAATGATAACAGTCGATACTTGAGCTTTAATATATCCAGTTACTAAGTCTAAACTGGCCCTCCCTGCATCATTGGTATGAATAGAACGATCAAGTTGAGCTGACCTTGCCAGGGGGCAAAAGTTAATTATGTCGACCAATGAGATTGCGCGTAGTAATCTCGCACTCTTTGGCTCACTGGGGGAAGAGGAAACAGCTGTCGGTTTTGTGCGATATGATAAAAGAATATAAAATTATTACAGAAAAACTATAACACACAACAAAATGAAATTAAACACATGGAAAGAAAAATAGTGGTGGAAGTAATGATGATGCTGTAGTGGTGGAAAGACCCTGAAATGTCGGTTACTGTGTACTTAAACATTGCCATTAGATAGATCTAATGAAAGTGCAGTCTTTTGGCTTTTGACACAATTACACAATCCTAGGAAGTAGGCAATTCTAGTTTTCTAATTCTGGTGATGTGAAATCCCCCGACGACAGTTATGAATTATATGTAACCTCCTTACACCTACAAGACTCATTTAGAAGCTGAGTCCGAATAAATAAAACATTTTTTTCAGACCCGAGTCCGAATAGATAAAAATTATATTCGGACTCGAGTCCGAATAGAGCTGGCCTTTAAAAAATTTCCAACTTGTGAAAGGTCACCAGTTCTCTTTCATTCTGACACGTCACCATCACTTGCTCTTGAAGTGATCAATAAATTGCAACTGTAAACCAAGATGAATTTTAAATAGAATCTGAAAGAGTTGCATTACATCTAGATCTAAATCCAAATTGATACTTCTGACAGAGAACTACAACTCTAACCATCCTACTTTAGAAGTAAGAGATGAAGAGATGGGCTGATGGGGTCGCTGTGGGCTGTAGGGAAACCCTTGCCCTAGAGAGTTTACCCTACTCCTAATCTTTACTTTAGACCAACCTATCAAATCCACCAAGTCTGAATATTATCATTATTCATTTGTGCAGATCTCAAAGATCACCCCAAAAGCAAACCTCTCCTTGTAATTTTATAGGACATCTCTATGGCAATGATGATCATGTCATCATCACAATCAAGAGTGAACTAGACTCTATAGATCTAATCCCAAGTAAATGCTTTCAGTTTTCTCCATGTGTGGCTGACATCATACTCAACAAACAGTAGCACAACAAGAAATCCCATTTTTTAGGTTTAATTTTCAGTAGTCTGAGTAGAACACAAAACAAGCTTAGAGTAAGACATAAGACCAATCTCATCTGACTCACATCACCCACCTCAAATCAGCGTAATAATGCGTAAGGATGGTACGTCAACCCGTCCCACCCCACTGAATTCTTTGCAGAGATCTTTTATTTGCTTAAATTTATAACCTTTGACAAAGTATAGAGGAGATCTAGATCTAGATCTATATATCTAGAATCTAGATCTACATAGGTAGAGTCTAGGTAGGAGTATAGCCAGGAAGCATTCAGGAGGGTAGAGAGTTGGCCTAAAACCGTATTATATAGTGAAGTGCTTATTATCCACCAAGCTCGAATCTTGGTTATATCGGTAAGCTGTTCACTGTTATCGTAAGATTTCTGAGACGATGAGCGATGACAGCAGCGTTTTGTACGTTAGGGGGCTAGTCTATTCTAGTTCTAGCTAGGTCGAGCCTTTAGACGAGATCAAGATCTCTATTGTTTTGGCCCATCTTCTGTGCTGCGTCTGGGCCCAGGGAATCTTATAGACTATAAAGATCCAGTCCAGTCATACCTCTCAGCGTGCATTCTCCTACTGAGCGTCGAGGCCGCGTTATTATGGGTTTAGACAATGCTGAATTAGGGCACAACAAGAAGGGTAGAAATCGAAGGTAGCAAAGGAACAAACTGATATCCAATATTTTATGTTTCCGGCATAATCCTGTACATCGTCAAAACAATCATTACACATGGAGGTAGGTGGCGTCTGTGTCTATGTTTCTGACGTCATCATAATATTTCCTAGTTCGGGTCATAGGGGTCACTTCCTCAAACCTTCGCGGAAAGTGAATCAGCTGTGACGCATTTTCCGGGTTTCCCCGGTGACCCATTTCATTTACTTCCGTACCGCCAAGAAGTCCTCGGGTTTGAATGGAGAAAAATTGGTTGAGGAGCCGTTACTCCATCCTCACCACTTTTATTTTCCTTCTCAGACGACCGAGGAAGATTGATCATGGTAAAACTGGACTTCTAAATTGAAAGTGCTACAAAAATTTGGAAGCAATATGCTGGCTGCCCATTATCAGCGAGATAGCTTCCATCTTGTGTAATGCGGTAGAATCTATTCTAGATATAGATTTTCTAGATCTAGATCTAATAGATCTAGATATAGAATCTAGAATCTATGTGTTATACTGTAGACCAGTAGATCTAGATCTAGATTCTAAATCTACCAATACACATGTAGAATTCTAGTACCATCTCTAAGACGGAAGGTGCAAACGCTAGATCTAGATTCTAGATCTAGTTTTTTAAAATCAAATCGGTACAAGTTCAAGTAGCTTCTGGTGCTTTGATTGTTCCAAATGTACTGGGACCGTATTATTTTAATTTTAAGATAAATTGGAAGCTGGAAATGCATGTAGGCTACTTGGCTTCCGTATTTGAGTTTTTTCACGGGTTATGAGAACATCTACTACAACTACATGTACGAAATATGTGTACTTCACTCTTGGTCTCGCCACTTAGGACAGAGGGACGTCTGTAGCCTAGTAGGCCTACTAGTAGTTAGGCTACCGGACTCGTAATCGTGAGATTGCTGGTTCGGGGTTTCAAGCCTCAGCTCGGTCCGACGTTGTATTCTTGGAAAAGGCACTTCACACGAACTTCCAACTTGCCTCAGTCTTTTCGGTGAAGGGCGTTAAACTTGGAGGTCCCGCTGCTTAAATAACCTAACTGTGTTGATAAGGACGCTACACCTATACCATTTCACCATTTTCACTAAGGACAGAAACCCAAAGGTAGCAGTTTAAGTGGGTTAAGTTTCTCACATGAACGTTAATACCGAGTCTGTGTTGAAAGTGCGTCAAGCATGAACTCTGAAATCACAGTTGTATTTGAGTTACACATTGACCAGTCAACTGAATAACGAAAACAAAAAGAAAGAAAAGAAAGAAACGAAACATCTTTCTCATAATATACCTCCTCCTCCTCCTCAATCTTCCGCCCTTTTGCTTTCTCAGCAATCTCACTTCAATGTTTTCACCCCCTCGCTCTATTCTCTCCCAACATCCCCGTTTCTTCCTCTTTTCCCCCGTCCTCCACCCCCACCCCGCCCATCCTTTTCAGCGTGAGATCATCTCGATCCACCTGGGTCAGGCGGGAGTTCAGGTAGGCGACGCCTGCTGGGAACTCTTCTGCTTGGAGCACGGCCTCCAGCCCGACGGTCTCCAGCCCTACAACAATTGCGGCCCCTGCCCCGTGGCAGACGACTCGTTCCAGACGTTCTTCATGGAGACAGGCGCCGGAAAGTTTGTGCCCCGCACCACCTTCATTGATCTGGAGCCCACCTGTGTGGGTGAGTCATAATAATATGGCAATAGCTAATTGTACAGCCGTTTCAGCAACGTGCGGCTAGTTAAGTTAAAGTGACTGGATCTATGATTTCTACATTAGTTTCCAATTGGAGTACCCATGGGAATGAACAGTCTCCCCCCCCCCCCCAAAAAAAAAAAAGTCGAAAGAAAAAGCAAATTAAACAAAAATACAGTGTAACAACAGCAGCAGCAGCAAAACTAGTCATGTTCATAAACGTCCAATAAAGTACGCGTCGGCGTACATGTACATGTATTAGGAATTCGACCCAAGGACTTCCGCAGCACAACCGAGCTTAGGGCACGCTCATGGGTTGCATACATTAATATTTCTTCCCGCTGTCTTCTCCTTCAGGTGTCAGGTCTGTTGTCTGTCTTCTTAATCAGCTCATTTTGTTTCCTTTGTGTTATATTCGTTTCAAAGTGCCCATTGCACAGTCGATTCGGTTTGGTTTGGTAGGCGAGGCTAGTCAGATTGTTTGAGGGCGAAAAGCGACCATCGAGACACAAACCCAACGAAGCCGACGGTGACCCTAAAAAACAAACGCATTTGTTTTCAAGGCCGCGAGTCGGGCAATCGTTTGCATTAGAGAACCGACCCCCCAACAGGCAC